GCTAGCCGTGCTAGCCTACGGTAGGGGGGGCATGGGAGCGGAATAGGTAGAACAATTCTGAAGCTTTCAGTAATTTCATGCCTAATCACGCTAGAGCACTGGTGAATAGATCCACTGTTCCTCAGGCTGACGTCATGTTTCATCATGCCGCATTTTTCCTCCCTAAATTTCGGACTTCTTTCCCATCTGGATCTTTTCCACGACCCAAAATCCCGAACCACAGTACGTATTTGCCTAGATTAGGCGCATTCCATACTGTGTAGTGCTAACCTTGGTGCCCATATTCTAAATGTATTGAACTTTACCCTCCAATTTACTTTCAGACGCTTTAAAGAGCCTGAACAGACGATAGAGACTTACCGAAGCGACAGTATTCGTCAGAAAGCATTGGTATCACACTTGGTTGCCATTACAGGTGGTATTGCAAGGCAAGACGTGGGAACGAGCAGTGGCATCGCGACTCGCGTGCCACTCACCGCGGCCTGTGCGCTGTACCTACTAACTAGCAAAGCCGACTCCAACACCTATGATAGTCGGAGCCCGCCGCTCCTCAACAAGTCGCGACTTTCTGATAAGTTGAAGATTGTGAGATATGCGCCTAATGTACCAACTTACACAACATCTAGAAGGCAATCATGTCATATCTGTTTGACCAAGCAGCCAGTCAGTATCGAGAAACGGGCTCTCGCGACAAATTCCAGGATCTGAGGATACCCTCAATAAGGCGCCTTTCAACCAACTCAAACAACACGTGCTCCCCCCACCCAGTAGCAGGCATCATTTCCTTCGGAGTATGTCGTTCCTCTTCGTGGCCTAGTCTCTACTTCATTAGCAAACCCCGACGCGACCGTAACGGCCATTTCCTTCAGAAACGCATAAAGATGGGCTTAGATTGCGTTCCTGCCGCTGTGCCTCAAGACGCGCCATGGGTTTCCGGGTAAGCCTTACGGTGTTTTGACGCTTCAATATTTGATGTCTACATGGTATGCTACACTTGGTGACTCGATACTAAATAAGCAGCAGAATATACGTGTAGGCTCGATACTTTTTGATTATGATAAGACCCTAGTGTCGGACGGGCGGCTACGTGGCAGTTGACGCATTGTTCTATTAAGTGCCTAGTCCACATTTACGACAGATTAACCATCCAATAGCGTTGAAGATCCAGCACGTCTCGAATGTGAAACGGCTACACAACCATAACTTTGTGTATCACAACCTTACATCTACCTCACAATTAAAGCCAGCCCTCCGTTCTACTTGGATAACCCAGATTCTGAAACAGCAGGCATTCCGAAACTTGACGTTACCGCTACGGGCGCAAGCCCATAATGAATTATAGGTAATTATCTCACGCTCCGTTATACACAGTTGTCCGCATTACAGATACTCGCCTCGACGCGCGACGGGCTCAAGCTTTCTTTGCCCGCAGGACGAGAGACCCTGAAGCGATTTGCCCATTCGGAACAAGCGGCGGGCCCCCCTAGACAACACACGTAGGTACATACAGACCAAACCATATTGGCTTTAGAGAAACGGGGACTACTTTTATCAAGGTACACAGTATCTACCACAGTCCGCATGCCAAGTCTTTATCGCTATCAATGAAATGCTAGGGATCTTTGATCGAATCTCTGCGTAACGCGCCAAGCTCACACCGTTCTCCTCTCCAGCCGCACAAGTCAGGTATGACGCAGGGGCACACTAGACTAACCTGCTAATTTTCTACGTAGAAATCCAGTGCCGTCGCGGGGCCGCCTGGCATACCCGTCCAACCCCTTCACCATGTCAAGTCGGGTCCGGGGAAGGAGGAACTATTGATGGGCTGAACACCTCATCCTATTACAGCCCGTCATACAATGCAAAGAAAAGGCTTGATCAGAAGTCGATATTCACCGGGTGCACGGTAAGGTATACTAAGCAAGTTAGGTAGGTCAACTGATCTGTCTTATATCGAAAAAGGTACTATTATAGGATAAGACGGAGGAATAGTTACACATGCGGTGACAGGGGGGGGGGGGGGGGGGGGATATAGGTATTACTTCCTGCGATTACTTACCATCCCAGACAAGCGGTTTTCCCAAGCCACAACCAAAAAGTCGAACATTTGTCCCGGGGGAGTTACACACTCGTCTGGCCATTTGGGTGGTCCTTGACGCTGTGCGTACATGCAACTATTGATTTTATGAGATTGCTTGCTTGGTCAGTCAGCCGTTATCATTGCTCAGACGACGTTGTAACAGAACGCTCCGCACGACATCGAGTTACATGTGGCGTCGTTTACCATGCTATCACCACTACACCGCATCTCGGTTGTCAAAGTGCGGAGTGTTGTTAACTTTTGCTTGCCTGTCTACCTTGCCGCGTGCCTGTTTTTTAAGTCCGTCGTGGCCATACGGTGCTTCGTCAATCTAGTGAGTTACCCTATCCAAATACCAAAAGACGCCGTTTCTGTTGCCTGCCAATAGATAGAGAACGGAAACAAACCCGGCCCTCTCAAGAGTTAGATGTTTTTGGTGTGTTATCGCCGTGCTCTCAAGACCTTGACTCTTCTATTGGCTCACGATATAATCGTCTGTGGCTGTGCTCATTCAACGTTGATCTCTCTACCAATAGGTAGGTCCAGCACTACATGGGTGGACAGTAACAAGGATATTTTATTCTGTCACAATTAATTATACGGAATACAGAAATGCGACAAGACCTTCTAGCCTTGGTTCTGCATGCTTTCTTCGGATGCTTTACCGAGACAGGTACTATACTTGACGATCAGCGATCAGCTAGGTAAGTATGCACTAATAAACAAACTCTAGTTACTGTGTGTACGTATCTCTATGTACTCGTAGACTTTTCCTTTACGTGCAGATAGATATGGTAGCCCTAGCAGAGAGGCGAAAAGATATTTAAAGAAAAGCGAGCAGGAACATATTCTGCAGGTACTGTGTTTATTAAAACATACGTGTTGATCTCCTAGTTTATATAGGGGGTAACTCGTCATCTTTAGTTGCTTTCCCTTGTGTAAATCTCTTCGTATTGGTATCGCAACCAGCAGATGGCAGATCATAGTACCTACCTACCTACCAATCATTGATCAAGGTATATGATATCTAGGTACTTTACAGACTACTACCAGCTCGATATACCTCCATATCTTGCAGGATAACAACATTTTCCAGGTTACTTACGAGTAAAGAGAGCCACTCTTGAGTTCTACCTACATATGTCCGGCCTCCTCGACCGGTGATGGATGTATTTAAGCGACCCTCTCCAAACACCACAGTGTACGTGTAATAACGGGCAAAATACCTCGCAATAAATAAACACACGTACTATATAATCACAATCCCCCAGAAGGGGGTGATTGATTGATTGATTGATTGATTCTCTTTGCACCGCCACACAAATTCCTCTTCTTCTGTTTTTCTAATCAGGATTAAACGGAGAGAAAGCCGATGGATGGTGTTGTGGGGGTGAGGAGAGGGGAAAGAGGGATAGGTAGGTATGTCATTGTCGATCACTTTCCATGTTTGATAGGGCAGAGAATGGTTACATAACACGTACAGTAGGTACCTAACTTTGCGTTTCGTTGCGTTCCTAACAAACCCCCTCCACCACTCCCGTCTTTTCTAGCACGTATTTACGTTACCGTCTCTCGGCTGGAAGTAAGATACCTAATACCTACTTTACCTATAGCAGCAAGTATACATAGAGATAGATAGATAGATTTACAGGCAAAGTAGTATTTCTTTTATTGCTTGGATAGTAGTTTCTATTCTTATTTTTAATGGTACTTACTTAGTAGGTAAGATAAAAACTCACCCTTTACATAGGTACCGGTTACAATATGTAGGTACCTACCTAGGTATTCTAGAAAACATCTCCACATACCTTATAACAACCGATCCCCCCCCCCCCCCCCCCCCCCTTTCCTTCTGACGTACACGTAAGTAAGTAAAGTATGTACTCTTTCTTGCCACTGTCGCGCCATTATCAACATCAACACTTGTAGTACTAACTGACTCACTCATAAGACGTATACCCATGTGTACAGCCTCGTTATAAAACTCTATATATAGCAGGGGAAACTCTTTTTATTACTACTAAGTAAAGTACGTATTAAGATAGTAAGTAAGTACGAGTAGGTAGGTCGGTATAGAGATCTTCCCCCTCAACCACGCGTAATGATCGACAGTTTATAGGTCAGGCAGGGTATGTTTTGCATTTCAATCGCGGGGTGAGGGCAGAAGGGCAAAGAAAATCATTTGGTACCTAGGTACCTGCTCGTAACGTACTGACGTTACGTTTCACCCGGCTTTTGTGGCAGTGCACACACACACACACACACGCCACATATCGATTGATCTTTTGTTTTTGTGGCTTTTCTCTCGGCGGTTTGTTGGTAGGTAGGGAGGTCTCTCTCTCCCTCTTCTCATTGTGGCTTTGGGCTTTGGGCTTTTGTTTTCTGGTCTAGGTTAGGTGGTAGGTTCAGTTGGTAGCTTGGACGTAGAGTGCGATGGTAGTTTGTAGTGGCAAGTGCCGGGTACTTCTCGGAATCTCAGCAATGGCCTCGATATGATATGATATGGTGGTTAGATGTGTAAGTGTTTTACTCGGTCTGTTAGGCATATGAGGCGACGTGTTAGTAGAAGTTAACTGTAGGTTTCATGTGAGGCTATGCATGCATGACTTGGGGGCATCTGGTCCTGATATCTTTTATTGAAAACTCTGCCCAGGGGACTTCAGTTTGGTAGTTTGCTTTAGGACGCGGGTAGATCAGCGACGTCGATATATCATGCCACACGTATTCCAACTTCCTGAGAAGCCATGGAGATAAACACCAGCGTCCTCTAGAAAGAGAAGAATTCTTATTTAAACATCACCATGATCCTCTTACGACGAGGCTAGGGAAACGACAGGATACAATTCCATGTACACTGTTTGCAAAAGTGGAAACATGGATGTCAAAAATGTAAAAGAGAAAAAAAAAAAAAAAAAGGAGAAGCCAAAGCCAGGATTCGAACCTGGATTTCCCGTCAACCGCTACGCGACCTACCAAAGGGCCTTCTTATAGGTAAGCTGACCCCTCTTATAACGGCGCCTTCTTTTTCCCAGGGGCTGCGTAAAGCAACGTGCCAGTACTTTCTCAGCTGTGTTATGTAGAGGGGGGCTAGTCCGTCACACAAGGGTGGCTTTGATACAAGAAGCGCATCGTACCGGGAGTGTTAACCACTACACCACTTTGGCTTATTCGTTTGTTGAAGAGGAATCCGTTTTTAAGGTATATTAAGTTAGGTTCAGGTGTTAAATAGGGAAGGATAGCTAGGGCAGATGTGGGCGCTCTTTCCCTCTTACAATAGGTTGGTGCGTAGATGGGCAGGCACGAAGGTAACGGATGATGTACCTACCTACTATAGGTGCAGTTTTAACATTGGCACCCTCCGGGAAGGGACAAGCAAGCAGGCAATATTTTAATCAAGGTAAAGGGAAAGAGAACAGACAACACATTAGGTCTTCAATGGCTTCATTATCGTACCAAGTTAGATGCCACACCGATTTCTTCTGTATACTAAAGAATCGGCGGTGTCTATTATATTGACCATTGGTCTGCTTATTATGGGATACAAAGTAAAGCTCACACCTTATTTTACACACGATGGCAAAGATGCGTATTTTTCTTATCATTAAGTACTATGCTACCTAGTCAAAGCACTACGACTGGGAAAGGCGCAACATATCAGCGTATAAAGCATCCGACTTGGATGTCACGACAGTTTGGTAATGAACCCCAAAGAGCTAATCCACACAACCTCAAGCCCTTCTCAAATCTGGTTCCTCAAAAGGCCAATAGAATCAGTGTCGAATTTTGTCATCAACACACCTAGCATCAAAGTCGGACCAAGACCACCAAGCCAACTTCGTCCTGAAATATCCCGACTCTTCCAAGGTGGATCAATTCCTGTCCACGGCAAGCCGACCAAGGACGTATATAGGCCTGGAAGTGCCAAACAACACCAGGCTTACTTTCCTCCTGGCCTAGAAACCTTTCTCAAGTTTGCAAGTGTCACCCAACATGTCGGTCTGTTTCTCAGCTTTTCAAAGCCGAGAAAGAGGCAGAAACCCAATTTACGTCTCATCAAAAAGACAAAAAAGGCAAATACTCTGGTTCAAGAAGTATTTGAAGGATCTCCATCCTTATCCTCACTAGGGTTGTGTAGGAAGTCTCGAGGACAGAAGATATATGCATCCTCTTGCTCGAATGGTACGCCATTGTTGAGGTCTCCTCCGCCCTACCGGAGGTCTGGATCGATAGCGAATGTGTCGGTAAAATAGGCAGACGAGTCGTTGTGGAAGTATTGTGTTCGGTTGAAGGTGTCTTGCAAGGAAAGATTCTCCGACGATGTGGGGTCCCCAAACACGTCGGCGGCAGCTGATGCCTGTGCGGACTCATCCTGGGCGAAGGAGAACGACTGCGGGATGTTTCCGGCTGTAGAGATGTGTGCAGCATTCAACCTCTCTAGAGGCGACGATGGGTAATTCTCCACCCGACTGGAAGGAGGCGACAGAAGGGCTGTGACAAAATCGGAATCCTGGCCAAATCCGTTTCTCATGAAGACGTTTGGCTCATCGGAACTTTTGGCTCCGAATGACTGGACTGGAACAGTTGTATGAACATTCCCTTCATTCTCGACGGAGGCTGGTGTCTGAGGAAGTTTCATTGGCTCTGTCTCATTTCTCTTTCTGATAGCCTGCGCAGGAGCATGAGAAGGAGTCTGTAGCTCGAGACCGGCAACAGCATAACGCTCGGCGGTCACGCGCGGGACGGTCGGCTCGTGTCGAATCGGTACAGAAGAAGGCACGGGCGGTTTCTGATGAGGGCGAGTAGGATGCTCTGTCGACTTGTTGCTTTTGCCGGCATATTCTCTTCGGCCAAGGCTTTGATGATGACCTGGTGCCTGGGATTCGGTGACATCCCCAGTCATCCTGGCCCGTTTCGCAGGCGCAGTGTTATCTATACCCTTATCCTTCTCTTCCCAACGCTTGATCTCTTCCTTCTTCTTTTCAGCATCGATATTTGCCAAGGCCTTATAATGGGCCTGCTCTTCGGGAGGCGCGCTTCTCCATAAAGCGCCGGCAATTTTGGCTAAAGGGAAAGTTAGTCTAAGAGCGAAAGATAGGAACAAAGAAGCTACTGTGTTTACTTACAGAGTTGCTTATTGGTGCAGCCAGGATATTGCTGCTTGATAAAGTCGGACTTTGCATTTCGAAACTTGAGGAAGCAGTTTTCAGGCTTCATAGCTCGAACTTCCTCTTTGGGAGAGTCGGCGGCATTCTAAACCCCCTTTCTCTTCCGCGAGGAATCAGAATTTTCTGCCTTCGGAGCCTTCCTTGCTCCTCTTTTCCTCGGGGGGATAATGGAGAGCGAGTTGGTGTTGATGGAGGAAGTTGGTGCTGTTGGTGATTATCAAGTCAGTGATAGGTGATAAGAGGACTCAAACAGTAAAGGGGGTTATCCTACCAAGCACTCTGTGCTTTTCTGTGAGCGAGAGGTTTGGCGCACCCTTTAGAGCATGCTGGAGGTTGAAGTCGGTTGGATGGGCTGGGAAAACTCGGAGGATGTCCTCCTCTGCAACGCGCTTTATCTGGCTATCGTATTCTTTCACAACATCTGCAGCGTGGGCAAGGTATATGCGACGCTCATTGCTGTCGTCTGTCAGGAACTGTGTTCTCTTCCCGACCTGCGCTCTGCACTTGGTTAGTGGTCAAGGGTTATGGATCTCACAGGATTGATCGTGTGCAAGACAAGACACAAAGGGACATGGAAGACTTACTGGGATCGTTCAAGGAAAACGCGTTCACCCTCAGGTCCAAGCGAGTTGAATGCTCGGACTGACAGCATGATTATTTTGTTAAGGCCATTGAGTTGGATTTTGGCCTCATCCCAGAGACTCTCCCATTTGGGAGCGATTGGAAGGTAGACTGAACTCATTTTCACAGCGAAGTTCTGCGATGAATGATGAAGTCGGTCAAGAAGAGATGGGGAGTTGATGAATACAAGAGGGAACACAGATTCAAGTGAGTTACGAAAGCTGCGTTGGGCCAAGGAAGAATCCGATCGGGTTGGGTGAGGGCGACAGGAAGAGATGTGATAAAACTTCCCTAAAAAAAAAGGTATGGGTGTGGGTGTGGGTGTGGGTGTGGTGCCATGGTGGTAGATACATGGATGTGTAGGAGTAGGGCGTCGGTACGTACCGATAGCAGGACGTCCAATTACCGCGCTAGCGAGGTCAAGAATACATAAATGGTATATATAGAGTAGTTGCGGCGACATGTGTTGTTATTATAGGGGACTGCAAAGTCGGTACTGGTACATCTAAAGAGGTACCGATAGGTTGTCTCCTGAGATGGACAGACACTCTATTAAGCAAGAACGCCATCCTCATGAACCACTGGCACCAACCCCGCGATATAGCTTTTCATACCCCGCCACATGGTGGTAGGAAGGTGTTTATATCAAGAAAGGCTCCCCTGGGAGTGAGGAGGGCGGGCAGCTCCTATGATGAAGGTACATGCTGAGCTAACTAGCACTCAGGGTCGGCGAACTCCTATTTAGACTCGTGTGCTCACATCATTGCAGACAGGTTATACTGTCATCACAAGCTTGATGATGCCTTGGTAGTAGATACCGCTGCCATGTAGAAAATTAGGTTCTAACGTAAACAGGTTACAGACGTTAGGGTACGATAGTAAAGCTTGCAAAGTTCCTTTTGACAAATCTGTTCTATTAGAGACAGGAGATGATAACACATCTCCATCTCCCCCTCAGCTTGACTTGTTGGCCTGTGGGTTACATGTTGGAAGAAGGGTAGGAAGAATCTGTCATGCTGGGAAATCTTTTTTTTTAATATAGAAAAGTCTCTGCTTTTGTAGACATAGGTAAGGTACAATAGCTATGGCCCGTGCGTGTGTGATATGTTTGTATTTGTATTTATGTTGTGAATTACAATTGTGCACCGCTTGCTATAAGCCTATAAGTGCGTCCTTGTATAACAAGGTGAATTCTCTTTAGAAAACTGTTTCCCCCCTACTCGTAAACTAAGAACAAATAACAAAACAAAACAAAACAAAACAAAACAAACATGAGGTAAAAGGGTCCATCTTCCTAGGTAAGAGTATATCAGACTCCCATCATCTATCTGCAATCTAGTCCCATGATGGCCTCTAGGTTAGGTTAGGTTAGGTTAGGTCAGGTGGAAAAGGTACTTAAATGTTTGTCCGGAGCTGGTCTGCTTGCTCATTTATTAAAAAAAAAAAAAAAAAAAGTTCCTGAAGAAACTTAATGTAGGTAGAAAGCCAGACACCACAGACAAAGGCAGGTAAAAAGCAAGTGTCAGTTAACACTGTAGTAGGTAGCGAGTTTGAGAGATTATTCTGCAGGTGATGGATGGATGGATGGATGGATGGATAGATAAAAGCGGTTTTCTGTTGCAAAACATCTTCCGTGTTAGGTATCAAGCGCCGGCTTGAAATCTTCTAGAAGGTCTCTCGAATGTTGAAGAACTCCCTTGCGTACTTGGGTACAACATGTGTGAATTCGCAGCTTATGCCACCTGACGGAAACGAAGAGTTTTGGGCTGCAGGTCGCAAGACATGAGATTTCTCTCATGAAGTGACCTTTTTAACAGCCGAAGACAAAGAACACTCAACCGAAAATATATATATATATATATACAGATAGTCTAGGACTGGACAATGGTATCTCATTATGACACGGGGAAACCGCATGATACATACAACAATGTTGGCAATAATCCAACCATTTACCACCACCACCTAAACAGACCCAACTCCAAAAATGCATAAATAATTGTTGCCTTCCCAAGTTTCTATGCAAAAATGAATCAACACCTCTCTCTATACACCCTCCTTCTTCACCGCATGCTGGGCAACGGTTTCCTCGAGAGCCTTTCCCCGTAGCCTCTCCTTTCTCCTTTGTGCCTTTGCCAGTCTACGCTCTGCTCTCTCTTGATCTTCTCTTAAACTGCGGATAGCCGGACTCTTGGCCCGAATCTTTTCTCCGTAGCGCCAGAATACGAAAGGGATAGGGATCAAGGCCACTTCTAGCAAGCCCAGGAAAGTTCCGGCCCACTGTGGGGTCAGAGTCTCATAAAGCTTGGGGCCAGCTAGAGGTAGCAAGGCGCCAAAGATGCTGCGTGTGAAAGCGTTGCCGGCAAACACCGAGGCAG